TGCCACTACAAATGATGGTGAGTCATTACTTCATTTAGCATCACACAGTGGCAGTACATTACTAGTGAAAGCATTAGAAGAATATAATATCAATTGTACATTAGATGATATTGGTAGGTCTCCAGTACATTATGCTGCCTGGTCAGGTTCTACTAGTCTATTAAGTTATATCATATCTCAGTATAATCTCAATGCTAATGATACTGATACTTATGGTCGTACTCCATTAGTCTACTCCTGCTGGTCAGCTAGTACTAATTCTGTTAAGTATCTTATTAATAATCATAACAGTGATCCTAATATCACTGATGATGATGGCATGACTTGTCTTCATCATTCTTGTCGTAATGGTCATATTGATATCACTCAATACCTCATTGAGGTACAGCATTGTGATATTAATAAAACAGATAATGAGGGATGCACGTTAGTACACCATGCTGCACAGAGTGGTAACTTTGATTTAGTTCAGTATCTTACTACCAAACATTTGTCTCCTACTGCAGTTGATAAGAATGGTCTGACTGCTTTACAGTATGCTTCAGTGTCTCTTAACTTAACTCTTGTTAAAAAATTAATAACTACCTATCAGTTAGATCCTCATCAAGCTGACAGTAATGGTAAGCTACCAATTCATTATGCTGCTCAATCTGGTGATATTTTACTACTGGAATTATATGTGAAGGATTACAAGTGTAGTCTGAGCCTAACAGATAGCAACGGTTGGAATATATTTCATTTCTCGTCATTCGAAGGTCACACTCACTTTATCAAACAAATAATGTGTCAGTATCCTCAATACATTAGTTTACTACATTCTACTGACATTGATTATCATATTCCATTGCATTTAGCTTGTAATAGTGGTAATATTCAATTGGTCGCATTTCTAATTAATGATATAAATTGTGATGTCAATGCTAAGAATACACGTGATCAAACATGTGTCACATTTGCATGTTTTTCAGGTAATCTTGATTTAGTACAAATATTAATACAACAGTATAAACTTGATCCTTTAGCAGTTGATAAATATGGTTTCACAGCATTGCATGCATCAGCACAGACTGGTCGTACTCATATACTCGAATGGTACAGTCAGGAGTATAGTGTGGATATTACTAATCACACTAGCAATAACAAGTACACACTAACTCATTCAGCTGCTTATAATGGTAAGCTACATTGTCTACAGCAACTGATCAACAAGTATCAGTGTGATGTTAATGCCACTACTACTGATACTGGTAGTACAGTTCTTCATAAAGCATGTGAAGGAGGCCATGTTCCTGTTGTATTTTATCTCACTAGTCTTCTTCAGTGTAATGTAGCAGCTAAGACTTCTAATGGATCAACAGTTCTTCACATTACCTGTAAGTACAGTGACTCTCTTCCTATACTCAAACATCTGGTAGAGAATCATCAGTTAGATCTGTGTGCTGTGAATGATGAGGGAATGGCTCCTATTCACTTAGCATGTAGTGAGGGAAGATTGAAGTTAATTCAGTACATTATTGAACACTTACCATCATCACTTGAACTACCTCATGGTAAGCATGGTCATACTCCATTCCTTATTGCAGTGTACTTTAGCCAGTTAGAAGTTATCAAATATCTTATTAGTAAGAAGTGTAACGTATCAGCTACTGATGATGAAGGTTCTGGAGCAGTTCACATATCAGTAGAGAGGGGTCACTTGAATGTATTGAAGTATCTCATTGATAACAATTATTGTAATCCTAATGCAATCAATTATCAAGACCGTACACCACTTCATGTTGCTGTAGCAGCTAATGAATATGAAATATTGGAATATTTGCTGAGTAAGAGTATACCCTCAATGAGTGTTGTCTGGTTACGTGAGATAAATTGTTTACTAGACAGTCCTCATGACATATACAATAATCCAGATAATGCTGTACTTATTAATGTACAAGATAAAGATGGCAATACACCATTACATGTAGCCTGTCAACGTGGGCAACAGAATATGGTATCACTATTACTAAAAGCCAGTCTGTCTAACAATAACTTATTAATTACTAACAAGAAAGGACAGACACCATTACACTTAGCAGTTGCCTCTGGTCATAAGGATACCACTGAAGCTTTACTGTTCTCAGTCACTGGTAGTTCTACTCATCATGATCTCCTTACAGCTACTGATAATGAAGGATCTACTGTATTTTATACAGCTTGCAGTAATGGCTATAATGATGTGTTTCGCTATTTATCCAATATTTATCCTCAAGGTGTTAATATAATGGATAATAGAGGACGTGGTTTACTTCATGCAGCATGTGAGGGAGGAGATATTGGAGTAGTAAGAACACTAATTGAGACACATGGACTGGATCCTTTAGCAGAAGATGAAGATGGCATCACCTGCTTACACTTACTAGCAGAGAGAAAGAGAGTTTATATATACCAGTATTTGGAACCAAACATTGTCTCTAATCCAGTACCTAAGGACAAGTCTGGTCGTACTCCTCTTCATTATGCTTCTTGTTCTGATAATATTGATATGGTACATTATCTCACAGAGACCTTCCCCTGTACTCCTGATGATCCTGATAATAATGGATACACTTCAGTTCATGGAGCATGTGAAGCTGGTAGTATGGAGTTAGTACAATACTTTTTAACTGATCTCAAATGTAATGCACTAGCTGAAACTGACGATTGTAAAAGTCTATTTTATTTTGCTAGTAAGAGTTCTAATTTAGAGCTTGTTTGGTTTTTAATTAACGCATTTGGTTTAAAACCTTGTCCACTTGTGATGTTGAAATAGCTTAATCAATTAATCCTGATTCATTAGTAGTTAACATTTTAATTTTTTTGGAGCAAAACAAAGTTGGCATAGATGTTATGAAAAACCCAAAAGGCACACAGATTGACTAACAAGGACAAGATTATTATTGTAAACACCGTTGTACTTATCATCATCTTACCATCTAAGTCAACATCTTACCACCTTATCACCAATCACCATATTTTTGTACCACCTTAAACTACCTTACACCATTTTAGTACCATCATCACCATTAGACGATATACCCACAATGGTTACCAGTATCACCTAATTATTATATCATAATAAACACCATTTTACTATTTACTACGATACCAACTTATCACAATTTTACCCCTTTTACATACCATTATATCACCATACACCAATAGGTACCAATATCACCTATACAATACTTGTATATATAATAACATTAAACATTAATCTTAACAACTAAGACTGACATTTGACACCATTTGTCATCTTACGATTACTATGTACACCAAATACCCCATACCATCTTAATGTCAATGTAACCATGGCCACCTTTTGCTATTATACCAGTGTACTACCTTATTACCATCATACCATTGTTCTACCTTATCGTTATCCACTGTATTTTGATCATGCCAAAACACCTTGGAATCATTATATATTATATCCATAAATTTAACTTCTGCATAGTCTTGTACTTATATGCTTTTATTATTTTACTGGTTTTTTAATATTTAATTTTAATAATTATTTTAATATTTAATAGTATAATTTTTATTATACAAATGAAATGAATTCAATCGTCTTCTTTAGTTCTTCAGGTACACTGTCAGACAGTGTCCATAGTTTAGCTACAGTTATTTATGATACCTTTGTTCATCGATCAGTTTTTATTATAATTATTAATATAAAATGACTCACCATAAGAAAATAGCATGACTTTAACCATGTAGATCAAACTATTCAGTAAATATCTACCCTAAAACAAGTGTTCTTTATTAACCTCCTGAACACTGAGCTAACTTGAATTATTGTTATTATTACTAATTATTAGTACTACCGTATACTGGAAAATTTCTTGGATTTTGCATTTTTTCAAAATTCACAAAAACAAAATTTGAAAAAATCAATTGAACACAGTTCAAGATGACCAAAAAGAATAAAATCACAAAAATTAAAGCCACAAAATAAATGTGAAATTTTTGGCCACAATTTTTTTGCTTTAACAAGGTACTTTGTAAGAATTCCTTTAGATCAACCAGTCAATAGAAGTAGGAGTAAGTGAGTATGTTTTATAGGCTTTATGTAATACTTGTTGCTATACATCATTAAATACAGAAAGTTGGACAATAGCATGTTAGTAATACTGACTGACTATATACAAGTAGCAGATTAGTACTTGTTCAATAGTGACATTTATTGAATATTGTATGAAATACATGCTTATAGATTAGCATTAGAATACAGAAGAGAGAGAGATGGTGTGGTTGATCGTAGTACATTGTATTATAGATATTGGACTAAATAAAAGGGATTAAAAACTCCCACATGCATGGGCATAGCAATAATACCACTTGATACTGTACTGCTGCTATAAGCAAATAATTTTGCTGACTAGGAGGTTTGTTACTTTTTGACCACAAAATTTTGATTCAGTTTGCATTCAAAATAGAATAACTCCAAGAAGAGTACTTTGATGAAAAAGAAATCCCAACTATTAAGGAGCTAAATGTTCTGTACTGTTATATGTAACTAATATTATTTTATATTTAAATTATTATTTTCAGTCTCATAGTGCTTTTGCCCATAAAATTGCTGTTTCCCCCCCCCCCAACTAATGAAGGCATAACACTAAAAAGCTTGTCAAATCTGGAATAGCTGTAGAAGTGAAAAGTGCCAAAAAGACGCAAATGTACCCATAATAGTTACAAAACAGCTCTATAGAAACAAAAACTTGCCATACATGTAGGTAGCCTTAAAATTTATGTGGTAAGGAAGGTATATCACAATATTAGACAATAATACACAATATTCCTTTGAAATCCTTTCTGCACAAAAACCACTTTGGAGGAGATGGTGAATGCAGACAAACATGAACATTGCCAACCAGATAATCAGGTTTGATAAAAACCACATTGCTGGGCATCAGGAACAATAGTTTCAAATCCCTTTCATTTCCTCTATTATCTATGATTGTTTTATCATTAATATACCAGTTTAATAATGTCAATGAGATTATCACCAGCATTATTGTTCCATATATAATCACAGGACATTTTTACAGTAACTAAAATCAAAAAAAAATTTAACTACATTTTCTGATGCATATACATGTATACATATGTATAAAATTTTGAGATGATTCCGACAAAAAATCAGATTAAAGTCCCTGTACTATATAGTACAGCCAAATTCATCAAAATTGAAAAGGAGAGTATTCTACATTTCTATCAGTAGCGTATACATGTACTTATGTTATGTAGAAATTTTGAGCTCAATCCAATCAAAAAACAAAAATTAAAAAAAAAAGATTGAGTAGGATTCAGAGTATCAATTCGTCAAAAAAGTAATGGAAACAAGGACAAGTAGGATTCCAAACGACTGATTATTTTGAACGACTGACTATACTCACACGAACGAAAATACGAAATGAAAATCCTACTCCCGTGACG